CTCAACGCACCTTACAAGTTTGACTTCGCAGCAAGGAATCACATGTATAAATAGCAGAGCAAACGCATATTCATGACGTTTGTAAAAGTTACACAATTAATAAATCTCAAATGCGGTGGCGTTGTTGATGTTCTTATTCAATAACTTTCAGACGGCGTCAATTGAACATGTTCTCGCAATTTAGAGTGTGCCTTTCTGTTCGGTTCACGCTGCACGGAAGATGTCGCATGGAGCGCAATCTTTGTGCGTGTTCTCAACAAGAAGGACGCGTGGATACAATGCAAATACGGCAATTTTCGTGCGTAGTTATTTCATGAAAGCCTAAACTGCCATCTTATCTTACAATGAAATCGTCGTTCTGGGACGCTAAACCCCATATATTGTTACCCGCACAAATGTTGTGCTCGAAGACCACATCTTCTGTGCAGCGCGAACCGAGCAGGAAGGCACACTCTAAATTGCGAGAACAGTTCGATTCACGCTGTTTGAAAATTATTGACTCAAAAAATCAACAACGCCACTACACTTCAGATTTATTGTGCATTTTTTTACAAAAGCCTTGAACGTGCGTTTGCTCTGCTTTTTATACATGTGATTTTTTTAGCAGCAGCTAAGAATTCAAACACAAAAGGTGCGTAAGCTATCGCACGCAATAGTTCATTGTCGAGATAAGTATAAGACAACGAACGCAATTGGTGCGCGCGATAACATAGACACGAGCGAAACGTGGCGAAAACTGGATGCGAAGTGGGTGCATTCGACACGCCGGTCAGGCAGACTGGAAACAAAAATTTACTACTGCAACCGACGCGCTCAACATCTATCCTTAACTGCAGCAAGCATATCATTTTAAACGCTTGGTGGCGCTGACCTCAGTCCAAGCGAGCTGAGGCCACGCGTCGGAGCGTTCAAGTTGAGGGTGCTGACGCCTGTACATGTGTGAGCAAATGAAGTTTTCAAACAAGCAGCCTTAAGCCACAGCTAGACTACCGGAACAAATAATCTTTTTCTTCATGCTACAGTACCCTTTTCCTCTCTGCCACTTCTCTGTTTATTTAGTATACAAAATTAACGTAACTTGCCCACATGTGTAACATTCCAACAGTGCTTTTTGAAAAACCTTTATGGCTCAGAGGCACACTCCGTGGATTATGGAGGAATGAATGCACGTAGATGGAGAAAAGCATTGTATGCATGAAGGTCAATGGGAAAACATTTCAAAACGATGGGGATATTGCCTACGTGGTTTATACTTCCAAGCTATATAGCGCGCAAAGACGCGAGACGAAAAATTGGCAACGGATATATTAAAATGCAATAATTCTTGGCATTTAACATATCACAACCACAGCCGTTAAGAGCAAAGGCACTTCTTTTTGTAGTAGAGGGCTCTAGTAGAGGGCAATGTAATAGAGGGCTCTAGGAATTTCGACTACCTGGGGTTCTTTAACGTGCAATAAATAGTAGCACCAGCGATGAAAAACACTCTTGTGGGTGCAGATTCAAAGAGCTGGTAAAGGCGTGAAGAACCACATCGTCACCGCTTAATTTTCATTGTGTACTTCCAAGATCCCTATTAAAGTTTTGTTGAAGCGCACCTTGCCACCTCGCTGCTTCCAAGATCTTCTTTCAAGAAGAGGATCTGTTTGGCCATCACATTGCTCCCTATGCATTTTCCTATGAGCTAATCCCTTCCAAAAAAAATTATGTGCCCACTCTATACTTGCAAATGACAGTGCCAAACTCCAAATCTTCCCATCTTCTTCAAAAGGTGGCTCATCGTGTCTGTTTTCACACCTGGAACACCAAAGCTTCAACATGCTGAGTAGCATGCTGAGTCTTGAATTATGCTAGGTTCACACCTGCGGGACACCAGTAATCTTGGAAACATTGTTTTTTACTACTTTTCTGGAAGCAGGTTAACGAAATTGCAGTTGAAATGCTACTGAATATATGATTTGTGTGAATGGGTAGAATATAAGAGGTTGTCGTAGCCTAGAAGATTGTCTATAGGAAAAGCTGATTCTCCATAGCCTTCGATTAAGGCATCTTCCACAACTTCAGTGTTGGTTCTGGAAGTTGCGACTCAATCTCCTTATGGAATGGAAAACTTGCGACTCAATCTCCTTATGGAATGGAAAACTTATGGAATGACTTGCGTATCCCTGGCAATATCTTTATCCGTGAAAGCCACTGAGCGTCTCGGGCACTGTGTGCGTGACAGGAAGATTGACCGCTAAAAGTAAAAATAAAAGAAAATAAAAGAAGAGGGGGGTAGAGAATTGAGAGAGTGAACCACTCGTCGGGTACATGCAATTTTCGCTAAGGTCACGTAACAGCCCACCGCGTTCGCAGGAATTATGACGACTGCGCACGCACACTGTGGTTATGCAGAGCTACACAAAACAAGTGCAGATCTTTTGTTCATAACAATGTCATTGTTATGCTTGCCCATAGATGCGAACTCCGCAAACGTTTGTTTCTTATAACAGCGGTTACCACGAATCGAGGCAGAAAAACGCTCATTGGTTCGGCCGTTGCATTTTGGTTTAAACGGCACCGTTATTACGGAGCGTCTAACGAACCGTTTCCAGGCGTTACATCCAGCAGGGTTTAGTTCTGTCTGCCGTGTAATGGGCCCCGAATCGACGCATTTCTTGCCCGCTTTCATACTGCAGCTCGCTGCTGAACGTGCGGACCGAGGAGGGGAGCATTTTCTTGCAGACACGGTGACTGCGCCGCACACAATTGCTCTTCACGGACTGCACACTGCCTAAGAGTCACGCCCATAACATCGGCCTCGCTATAATTACTGCAGCGTTTTCCTTCTTATTATGCCACCCCTCTCCCCCATACACCCCAAACTTTTCTTTATTTCGTTCAGGAACGTCAATGAAAACACGCCTCCTCCGATTTGATTCCATGAGCGTTCTCTTTAATTTTCAAACTATCAAATGCTGCGATGGCGTCAATTAACGTTCCCGTTGTTTGTACACACCCCTATAGTCACTGTTCATCAATGTACATTACTATCTACAGTTAATATCGGTAGATGATGTACAGCGGCTCAGTATAGAAGCTCTACCTATCATAGGCTAAGGAAGCGAACTGTGACTAATTATACCGTGATGTAAAAAAAAACAATTTCAGCCACGAAAGGAAGTCTTTCGCAGCGCGTTGATAAAATGGAGCAAGGAGGATTGTTGGCGTCATATTAGGGACGTGCACTTGCTGGGCCATAACAATAGAGGATAGTCAAAACACACCTGTTCAACAACCGGCACCAGTGCTTATATTCGGGAGCAATGAAGGCAGCGGTGATCGCTTTAGAATCGATTAAACTGGAGCTCAGCGAAACTAAACCGAATCGGAAACACTGGACAGGGCATTTGTCGGATGCTGTGCAAGCATTACATGAGATTCAATCATTTTACCAAGTCACGCCGCGGTGGTTTAGTGGCTAAGGTACTCGGCTGCTGACCCGCAGGTCACGGGATTGAATCCCGGCTGCGGCGGCTGCATTTCCGATGGAGGCGGAAATGTTGTAGGCCCGTGTACTCAGATTTGGGTGCACGTTAAAGAACCCTCGGTGGTCGAAATTTCCGGAGCCCTTCACTGCGGCGCCTCTCATAATCATAGGGTTGTTTTGGGACGTTAAACCCCACAAATCAATCAATCAATCATTTTATCATGTATAAGGCAGCTCTAGATGGCATCAACTGTCATTTAGCCAGCATTAGCCAAACCTATCCAATATTCATCATCATTCAACCAAAACTTAAGCCGGCTATAATTAGTGCTAACCAGTGATCTAATTAGGATTATAAACATGGCAGTTCATGTACTAGTGGTGTGGGAGTGAATACGGTAATCAAGGACACTGGTTCACCGGTGACTGCTTTTCACAAATCGCGCTAAGTACATACCTACACACACTTATTTATCGCTCCATATTTCACCTTTAAGTGCTTACGCATCAAAACTTCAGTTATAGAATTCAGACTGCTCGTGCAACATGCTTATTAACGGGTGTTTTAATGCAAATTTTAACAAAAATTTGATGACAATCATGTCCCTGTCGTTTTCGCACATGGTCCACGTCGAGCTGGAAGTGATAGTGAAGGGACCAGTTAACAGAAACACATTAATTAACTTTTTGATTCTTGACTTAAGGGCTTGTAGTTCGGCATATAGTTTTAGATAATTTATGGCAAACCATGCTTCTTTAGAAACCACTAGTGCTGCACGTAGTTCGATATACTAATCATGTAATTGTAATTTCGATATTGAAACTGACCGCGTCTGGCGTGCAGGATACGCGGCCCCTCTATTCCGTCAAATCGGAACATGCCATGATATGAATGTGCAGGTCGTCGGTGCACTTGTAAGAGGTCAAAGTTTGAAGATAAAAAAGAAAATACACAATACACTAGTATTTACTGAAGGCCTTCACAGACAAATCGTGGACCACAACGATGTTTTCTGCTTGCTGCACGTTTCGCCAGCTGCTTGTGGTTTGCTTCGTTGGCGGGAAAACAACCGCCAGCACCACCGCGGAGCCATTGCCCCTCACTCGTTCTGCCTGCCTCCAGGAATTCGCCTCGTCGGAATGCATGTTTACCGTCGGAAGCGGAACAACGCCGTCTTAGCTTTGTTTTCTTTCTTTCTCTCCTTTCCACGGTTCGACGTAAAACGGGTAATGCGCACCTCATCTCCGGCCAGTCTGAGAGGAGGCGCCCGAGTTGAGGCGAAAAGGAAAGCTGCCGGGGAAAGCGCGCCGTAATGGTGAAAACCGTTTGAAGAAAGAGTTTAATGCGGCGCAACAAAGGCCGGGGGATTACAAGGGGACTCCCTTTTAATAACCTCCGCTAGCCTAGATACTTTTTTTCTGCGCTGCCGGATTGGCCCGTTCCGCGGCGAAAGTAGGTGGGTGCAGCACCGCCCGGAAATGTCCGTATAAAGCAGGCTGCTGCGGCAGGGTCACTCCCCACCAAGCAGTGCACACTCCGCCGACGCACACGTCGCTTCACTTCGTCCGATCAGTGCGCCCCCGCCGGACACCGTGATGACGCTCGCACCCGTGAGTAGCGGCGCCTCAAGGGCACGACGGTCAACAGTCAACCGCTGCCCGCGAGGGCATCGGTTCGCTGTCGCCGCACGGACAATGTTCGCGCACCGCTGTATGGATATCGCGACGCGTCCAGTCTGCGGCATCGATGTACTTCTTTTTCTATATTTAATCCCGTACCATTACACTACGACCAGCCTTCGACTCCCGCTGAGTGGATATGGTGTGAACCTGGTGAAAAATTATTAGGTTGTTGGTCCAAGCAGCCTGATAATTTAACGCTTCGGAAAACTGCCTTCGCCGCCACAGTGTTCTGTATATACTTCCGTTAGTATTATCGTAAATGAGCCGTACTTACCACGACAGTGCGGCAAGATCTAGAAGATCTCTCCTTAAACAGTGCTTCACACGAAATTTTGTATAACGTTATTGAAAACGCCGTTATTAAGACAATGGGGCAGTGCGAATATCTTACAGAAACGACCAAAACTCACCATTGTTTTGTCAAGATAACTCTGCAACAATGCTACGAATCGAAGGGGAAAAAAAACGAAAAGCTCGATGACATGTGCATTCGCGGACGCTGGCTTAAACGTCACTGATGAGGGGAAGCTTTAGCGTATACGTAACTGTTTTTTTTTTTTCAATCGATATATTAGTACATTTTGTTTGTTTTTTTCGGCCGTTGCTTTATAATTAATATCAGCCGAGGCATAATTCGGCCCATATTCACTAATCGTCTCATGTAAAAATGCTTCCTCATTTAGGTATGCTCAGGTAATCGATACTCAAGATTACAATAGACGTGACAGTGACACGATCACTGACGCGTCTATCACGGCCATGGCCAGCCGCAGAAGGCACTTGAGAAATACGAGTTGTAAATATTGGCTTGGATATTTTGTCATATTTATACTGCACTTAAAGCACAATGGCACACCACTCGTTCTTGCTGACTATCGGAAACTTGTCTGATACGCGTCCGATATCTACTAGCTGATAATCCGCTACGCACTCACGCGCTGTGCTGCCTTGTAGATACACAACACTCGCGGCTAATTATCTGCGCACGAGTCATATATTCAATTGTCGTATATCTAATTGCCTGGTCTCCTCTGCAGGTTGCTGTCCTTATTGCCCTCCTGGCCCTGGCAAATGCCGGTTACCACGGGCATCACGGAGGCCACAGCAACACGTACAGGAAGCAGAACGTAAGTTTCGTTGTCTTCTTGCCACCGAGCTCGTGAGGAGAAAGCAAGGATATAATGATAACATCAGCGAAGAAAGAAAGAAGGTTACGTAACATTTTCGCGAAGGTGAAATTATGTAGGTTTTCCGAACACCTGTCAGATCACAGAAGTTGTATGGCCACTTATAATCGAAAGATTCGAATGCGCTAACTTCCTCCGCGATGTTTTTTTTTTATTATTGACATATGTAAGTGAAGCTGCAGCAATTTAGTAGTCACCTAATACTAATAATACTAACAAACCAGAAGAAAATTTCACTCGCAAAATTTTTTTGTAAGCAAAACCAAATAAAGATCGAATATCAATGCACTAGTTTGTTTTTTTCGCGCATGATGAAACTCTTTGAAGACGACTAGCTGTAAATAAAGCAGGAGGTCGATAAATCGTGCGCGCATTTTATTTTACTATCTTTGAATATTTGATTGAACCACTGGCTTGTTAGCCAAAGTTTCCCACTTAAGTACGAAATAGCCCTTACGTGACACTTACTGACATCTTACAACGGAGCAAGATGAATGATGGCGGTGAGTGGTACGGGTCTCAGCGCCCGGTTTGACGTCAAAATTTTCGCTGAGGTATCATGTGTCCAGAGACGTGGCGATCACTTCTCCACTGCAACAAGCGCAGCCACGTAAACCATGCGGACTCGTATGATGCAACAATGTCTTTCACATGCCTGTTGCTGTTTTTTTTTTTCACATCACGGGCCAGCCTATCAGAACGCTACTCAGTCCACTGATGTCTATAGCCCGAAAAATAATAGCCGGATACCATGGCATGACATAGGCAATGCTGTGGTCTTCGTATTTCGCAAAAAGAAAGCGTCTAAACTTTTACTGATCTCGTCTACGCGACTCCTTTGTCTCTTCTTAGGATTACGGCGAATACACGTTCGGCTACGACGTCGTGGACGGCTACGGCAGTATCCACGGCCGCCACGAGAGTGGCTCCGCGTACGGACCCGTGGTGGGCTCCTACTACCTGGGTAACATCGACGGCCGCCACCGGCACGTGCACTACGTGGCCGACAAGTGGGGCTTCCGTGCCATGGTCAAGACGAACGAGCCCGGCACCAAGACGAGCCTGCCGGCCGCCGCGCCCTACCACTCGGCGAACGGGAAGACCGTGCCGGCCTACGGCATCTCCGGTCATGGTCATGGTGGTTATGGCGGATACCACGGCTAGATCATCGCTCACCCTGATACCACGAGGCGTAAGCAACACCACTGTGTCGTGGCTAGTTACCAAGGCATGCAGTCATAGCCTTCATGTAGCGCACGCAAAAAATTTAACAGAATTCAGATACCCCGCTTGTGTTTCGTATTTAGTGCGCTCAAGCAAGGCAGAGCATCACATGCATATTCATTATCAACTCCTTCCTCAACAGTAACAAGCAAATTAGGCACATCTAATACATAAAGTTTCTAGAACTTAATTTGTGTGAGGAATGATCGAATTCACAAAAATGCAAGATCAGATAATTTAGAGAGAGAGAGAGAGAGAGAACTCTTTATTGAAAGGCCGGGAATTTAGCCGGCGTATGTAGATCGCTCACTTGCAACTATGCGTAGAGAAGGGATTTGAAACGAAAAGACAAAAGAAGAGAGAAAAAAATGTTAAAAGGTGAAACGTAAAGAAACCTATTTATATACAGACAGTTTTTTTGTCTCTTGGTCGGGAACGTGTGCTGGCAGATGGACTTATTTCGAGTTAGCAAAGTTCCACTACAGTTTGTCGAGCTCACCGATTTTGTCCAAATATAAGAATAAAAGTTTAATTGCATGCTGTGGCGCAAAGGAGGTTGAAGGGCCCAAGACACAGTTTGTTGATAAAGTTCTTCGGGTTAGCACATACATGCAATGCTCACAGAGCGCACACTCATCAGATAATTTATTATACTGTACTAGTGTGATGCGAACACGTATTAGCAAGAACTTTCTTTCCCTATAGTAGTACTGCTTGTAAAAGCAGAGACCAGCCATTTAATATGTTGAACATACTATTAGCAAAAGCATCCCAGCTGCGGCGGCTGCATTTCCGATGGAGGCGGAAATTATGTAGGCCCATGTGCTCAGATTTGGGTGCACGTTAAAGAACCCCAGGAGGTCGAAATTTCCGGAGCCCTCCACTACGGCGTCTCTCATAATCATATGGTGGTTTTGGGACGTTAAACCTTACATATCTATCTATCTATTAGCAAAAGTGGTAATGAAAAGGTAAAGATCACTCATCAATAAAACTTTTTATGACTATGCAGCAGTATGTTTTCGAGATTGACCTCAAGCTGAGGTTCAGAAAGAAAAGATGATGAATGCTTTAGAGCGCATGGAAGGCATTAGAGACTTTATAAACTGCCTGTGTCAAGTTCGCCCGTCAAAATTGTGCTTACAGTGCACTGTAAACCATAGTACGTCTGTAGCGTGCCTAATTTTAGCCCAATTTATTACTACTTTGAGAGCTTTCACGAACGCTTGATTAAAAGTCCAACAATTTGTGGAGTTTCGTAAATATACCCTCTATTTTTGCATTTTCATCACATCTTCAATCTCTTCCCGAAGAACACGTCACGAACACCATGTAGTTGTGTGTGGTTGTCTTCTACACCTGATTTGCCAGTGCATGACTCCTAACTTTCTCCTTCGTGCTTTTTATATGTCCGTCCTCATATCAAATAATAATAATAATAATAATAATAATAATAATAATAATTTGTCAGTGTACAAACACGCAGCTAAATATACCTTGAAGAATAACATTAGCAACATCACAGCCAGCTTTGCTCCGTTCGGTTAGTATCAAAATTTTACTACTTTACTACCGACAACTCTGTGTTAGGTTATACTGAATATATGCGCCACAAAAACGCTGCGCACAGCTGCTTTTAGCATCACAATTGTTAGGACCTCGTACAATGAGCGGAAACTCTTGTACGCAAAAGTACTCGGAAATAGCAAGTTACAGGAATAAAAAGACGCGGGACCCAAAGACAAAAAAAAAACCATCATGCAGGCAGGATCTTTTTGAAATCAATTACCACAATAACCAGCAAGTTATTCGCCGATATCAACTGAGACAAACCTCTAGATCACAGAGCTTGACAGTTTCAAATAGCGGCACCCAGCAGTACGACAGCGCGAGCGTATATTCTGCGATACCATTCACTACAGGAAGGCGCACGCACTGGCAGCATTCTCTATTCTGTCCTGTTTACAGGAAAACGACATCACGTCGAACACGCGCCTCAGCAAGACGTATTTTTTCGATTATCTTCCCCACACTTAGCCTTCGTATTTAGCAGTGTCCAATAATCGGTAGTGGTTTGTGTTGTTTTTCTTATGAAGAAGTTAACTGAGGTTTTTTGTGTGTGTGAATAAGACAGGAAAATGAAAATGGGAGGTAGGAGGAGGTGGGTGGGGTTGTCTTCCCGGTTGATTGCACCTTGAGACAAACAGCGTTGCGAAATCTGACGCCGTTAATGTTGTCTCAGTCTTCTTCCAGAAAACATTCAGAGTATCGACAAAAGCCCAAGCGCCCGGTGGGAAGAACTTGCAGCCTCTGGAAGCAGCGCACGCAAGCAATTCATGGTCCAGTACACTCATGCAAGCAAGCTGTGAAAGCCCTTGGCGACGATCGGCTCAGCTGAAGAAGCTGTGAATCAGTGCCTCCGACAAGCATGTCGGGCGCGTCTGTTTGTCAGCCTCTTTTTTTTTTCCTCTCTGAGCGAATCAGGCGAGTGCAAACGCTCAACATTGCCAATAGTCGTAAACGAGCCGTAAAGTCTTTTTTTAGCTTTTTTTCTTGCCATAATATTAGGGATAATCGGGTACATGGCAGTCCTTTTTTTTTCATCTTTAAACTGTTTAGTTCAGGCTTAATCTCGAAATACGTATGACAAAAATACTTTATAATTAAGAATTAACACTTTCATAATTATAAACTAGCACAATAGTTTGGACAAGCCAAACCTAATCGAAATTCCCGTATGCGTTGAGAAGAACTTTTATATTTCGTGTCTGTGTAACCGAGAAATTCCTATGAACGCGTTCCTGAAACTTTGAATCATTTTTGAAACTCACTTTGTTACTAATATTCGAGAAAAAAATACGATGATGGGAAGACACCATCAGTCGTCCTGCAGAGAGCTGGCCCGGAATGAAAGTGTTAGCAGCGAGCCCAAAACAAAAAAAAGACAAAACTTAGCGTTTTAAAACACCGTTATTGTTCATTAAAAAAAACAAAAATACGAAGTGTTTCGCGCCAGGCTTCACTGTTTTAAACTGCTCGCTTTTACAGAGGAAAGGAGCTGTGGTCAATGACGAATAAGCGATGCGGCTTAGCCGGTCAATTGAATTGCAAAATTGTGGCAGTTCCTCTGAAATTAAAAGCAAACTCCAATTAGTGGGTCGTGGTGTGTCTATCCCCAAACGACGTAATCATTGACTTGAGGAACGTCAATATTCATTGTGTATAAGTGTACAGAAAACTTCTCACATTGTGTTTTCTTTGTAACCTTTTCATGTTCATTGTGCCTAAATGTACAGATTTTCCTAGACAAGTTGTATTTACTACTGATCGCCTATACTCACCCCGTGCAATATACACAAGTGTACAGAAACCTCTTACAGTGCTTGCTTCTATTTCTATTTCTTAATGAACTTGCCTGTACGCCTGGCTGGATGTAACCAAATGCCTAACTCTTTCTAGAGCAGCAACGCTTCAGTGCTCCGAAGGTTTGTGCCCTTAAATCTTGCATCCTACTGCTTTCTCGGCTTGCACAATCTTCACACGTGTTTTCGCGGCCTTCACACCTCGGCGAACTAAACTGCTGCTCTTAGCCAGAGCTCTATTGGTCAACAACCCACGAAGAAACCACTGCCCTCATTTCAGCCGTAACGGCATTGTTATAACCGTGCTCAAACGGCTGCTGTTTCCTGCAATTGCCCGAACGCAGCACGACGCCCACCCCGTATAAATATTGTTCCGCTCTAGTAGCGCCTCGCATCCACGGCCCAGAAAGCTCGCGCTTTCATTTCAGATTATCTCGCTGGAAATTGAAAATGTGCGTTATTTTCGGCCTTACTTTCCTGAGATCGCGAAAAAAAAACGGGACATATATTGTGCGTGCCCAAAAAATTTAGTATTCTGCATCGCTTCGCCATGCTCATTTATATGCGGGTTTCATGTACATACATTCATTTCAAACTCACACTTTTATATACTTTCCCTGTGCTTTATTTTCCGCTTGTGTGCTGCTTCTATTTCATGCTCCTTTTTTTTTGTCTGCGAGCGGCCTTTGCTCGCAGTGCCAACGCGCCGTCATGACGCATGGTGAAAGCCGCGTTGCTTGGTATTAAACCGATTGTTGCCGTCATCCTTGTGCTGTGTGTGCGTCTGTGTGTGTTTTGTGGCGAATAAAGCAAGCGCTCAGCGCTGCACTAACTATACCGGCACGCGAAAGTTTTTGTTATCGGCATCATCTCAACTTCTATTTGGTATTTAATATTCCCACTGTCCTTTGTACAAAGTTCGAGTTTCATTCAGTGAAAATAAAAGATGTGCTACCTGTCTGACTTATGATCGAAGTTTACTACACTCCAAGGCAGTCGTGCTCGTTTATCACGGCCCCGCCGCGGTGGTCTAGTGGCTAAGGTACTCGGCTGCTGAACAGCAGGTCGCGGGATCGAATCCCGGCTGCGGTGGCTGCATTTGCGATGGAGGCAGAAATGCTGTAGGCCCGTGTGCTCATATTTGGGTGCACGTTAAAGAACCCCAGGTGGTCGAAATTTCCGGAGACCTCCACTACGGCGTCCCATGGTGGTTTTGGGACGTTAAACCTCACATATCAATCAATCAATGGTTTATCATGACAACGGTGCCATGTATGAATGTGCGTGCATAATTTTACCCTGTAAAAAGTGTTCTTTCACTTTTTTTAGATAAGTATACTCCTTTCATATCTGTATTACTCTTTAGAGAGACGCATTGACTCTCTTCAGGAGAATCGTGGAACACACGATTTTCTGAAAGAGCTGCTTTATTTCTGATTGTGTGCTTGTTTTCAAACGGGATTTAGCTTGTCTTTTTAAAGAGAGTTGTGCGTGCCACGACTCTCATAAAGAGTGTCCGTGCGTCTCTTTAAAGGGCGCAATAAATGTGAGAGTCCCATGTGTAGCAAGAAAGAGAGAAAGTACACTTTTTCATAGTATGGGTAAAGTGCGCATAAGCGCACATTAAAAAAAAACGTGATTGAACCATAAGAATCAGTATAACATGACAGTGTACAGTGTCTCCACAGTAGTATAATTCATCATTTATCGTACATAGATTTATGAGAGCTAGCCCAAAGCCCATTCATGTTTTGCAGCTACAACAATACTTCACTTCGATACTTGCGTATCTCCATCCCGATTCCCAACATCAAAGATCACGATTCAGCCCTAGTAGTAGCTGAAATAGTTAACATGCCCAATAGTTATACATGCTCAAAGATCAACAGGCACATAATACTGGCTCTCATTACGCACTGATTCAAGGTGTCATCATTTGATTAGAGAAACGCCGTGGTGTGCCTCCCCCAGGCCCCACGAAGTAATGGCGAAACTTCAAATAAGATAAGATATTTCATTTCAGGTAACGACAAATAACAATTGTACATTGGTCGTGTCTAGGAGGGTGGCAAAAAGGCACGAATGCCTGACTAAGTGTCACACTCCTACTAGACACATAACTCAAACAACAGAGGCCGTTACTGGAGCATAGATTAGTACATACATAAGATTATATATACGACAGATATTTAGGAATACATATACAAGATGAATACAATTATACACGTGCACTTGAGACATATAACAGGGTAATATAAATGCAAATACGGATGGCAGCACAAAAAAACAGAAATAAAACAAAGAAATATTTTTTAATTATAAAGAAGTATGAAGCTACCTTTCTTTTGAAGCATTTCATGTGCATCGTTTCTTGTACCATATTCATAAGAGTATGATGATGACTTACAAAGTCTGCTATTACGTAAGATTGTTTTTGTGTGCCTTAGTTGGTCCGTGTAGAACCTTTGTCATACATGCTTGTTCTAGTTTCGTGAATGTGTCGCTTCGACAAAAATTGTCGATGAATCCTGGCATAACTTTGTTTTCTGAAATAGTGTAATGCATATCTCCTTTTTCACAACCCCACCGCGGTGGTCTAGTGGCTAAGGTACTCAGCTGCTGACCCGCAGGTCGCGGGATCGAATTCCGGCTGCGGCGGCTGCATTTCCGATGGAGAAGGAAACGTTGTAGGCCCGTGTGCTCTGATTTGGGTGCACGTTAAAGAACCACAGGTGGTCGAAATTTCTGCAGCCCTCCACCACAGTGTCTCTCAAAATCATATGGTGGTTTTGGGACGTTAAACCCAACATATCAATCAATCAATCTTTTTTTACTATGTGCTGCATTGTTAAGTTATTATTTGCCTTGAAGAGTGGCGCGGAAGGAGTTATATGAGGTACATTTTCAATGACTCTCACACTACGTTTTTGTAGGATTATATTTGTTTTTGTTGTTATTCCTCATACAAGAAGGCAGTGTTGTAAAACGGCAATGAATTAGTGCGTAATATAGGTGAATTTTTAAGCACCATGGCAAAAGTTTGTTTTTTACTGTACTTATAATACCAATTGATCGTGATATGCGTCTTGTCACACTATTGCATTGAGAGACAGCTGAGAATTGCTTAAAAAATAACACTAAGGCATGTATATGTTCTTACATGCTCAATAATTTCGCCTCAGAATTTCCAGTATACACCATTCCTGATTGCTTTATTTGAAAAAAAAAATATTTTACTTTTTATTTAAAAAAATATTAGTTTTGTTTGAGTGAGAAATTATATATTTAGTCTTTTTTCGTATTAAGGTCCAGCGTATTTACAGTAAGCCATTCGGACAAATTATTGAGCCATTTATTAGCCTGGGACTGAAGAATATCTAATTTTACTCCCGAAAACAATATATTCGTGTCATAAGCGTAAAGTATTATATCGGGCATAAATGGAACATTTTCTATATCATTTATACACTATAAAAAAGAAGTGGTCCAAGAATTGAACCCTGAAGAACACCATATCTATGTTTCCCGCAACACTGATTTTGAATTATGGGTGTCTGTGTTTGTAAAATAACTACGTATCAGGTCAAGAGCGAGTCTCCTAATACCATAGTCGCTTACTTTATAAATATTATGTGATGCTTATTAGACTCTAAAGCCTTTTTAAAATCAAGAAATATCCATAGAATATACATTTTGTCTTCAAAATTCTGAATGACAGTTCTTTATAGTTGTAAGTTACATTTCACTAGACTTTATTTTCTGTAAGCCGGATTGGTTATCTGTAAGTATACCCTTCTTATAGCTCAATGTTGTAACTCTTATATTAATCATATGTTCAAAAAACGCCAGGCCTGCGCATAAGGCGTAGCACAGTCACAGCGAAAGCTATAGACGAGCGGCCTGTCAAAGCCATTTCTAAACACTCATTGGGTGACTACTGCAAGCACACTTGCTTAATACCCACTACGGCATTATTAATAAAAAATTGTGGTAGTAGGCTGGCATTCGCTATGCTATTTTTCGTCATTCTTCTGAGAAATGTGGTACCCGCTAAACACATGCAAACAATTTCGTTCCAATAGTTCATGCAGTGGCTGATGACGAATCATGCCTGAAGTAAGTATGCGCCATAGTAAATAAGTGAACAAGAACAAGCTTTTGTAAGAAGTTGGAACATTGGACGACCCACTCGTTACGCTATTCCCATTGTGCGATGACTGGTTGTTCTTTCGCTGTTCTAAAACACTTTATACGTCGTATTAACGCGTTTGCTTTGCCGACATCAAGCCTGCCTAAGGCAAGTTTGCCAACAAGTCCCAAGCACCGGCGTTGCTCAGTGCTAGAGTAGTGGGCTGGCACCCAGTAGACCCGGGTTCGAGCGCCGTGGTGTCATTGGCGCAAGGTATTTTTTTTTCTAATTTCGTGCGATGTGGTTACGGACACCGGCGGCGGTGGACAACTACGGTGGCGCGTGACCCTAGCTTCAATCTGATAACAGCTTTCTCTGTAAAACTTGTGAAAATAGTGGTAATATTGAGATTGGTCTGTATTTGTCCATATCATTCTGATCACCTCCTTTTAAATATAACTGCTACTCTTGCGATTTTTAGTTTATCAGGGAACACACCTAAAGTCACAAATTAGGTTACATATGTGCGATATAAGATTGCTGATGTGGTCGACAACAGCTTTTATCGGCTCGGCTTCTATCATCTCCTCGCCACATGCGCGCGCATTCTTTAGTTTCAGCATTTGAGATTTAATCTCATTTTCTGTTGTTGGCTCCGTGAAAAGATACTTCGAAGAGCTACGCATCATGTATGACCTGTAATTATGATCGTCAAAGTTTTCACTTACTTAAGCTCTGCATCTTAAAAAGTGTTCATTAAACCTAATGGATAAATATACCCCTGTATATGTTATATCGCCATCTACAATTTCTTGCGGTAATAGGCATTTTAGTGTTTTCCCCACAGGTTTCGGGTCATTGAGAATGTTTTCGAACTTATTTTCGTAACAATTTCTAGCTTCCTTGATATTACGGCCTAGTTTGTTTTTAATCTTTTTTTATATTCAGCTAGGACATCACGCTGTCTAGTTTCAATGAACTCACCAAAGAGTCTATCCCGTTCCTTCAATTGCTTTAGGAGAGCCGTACTAATCCAAGTGTTTTTACATTTCTTTATTTGTTTGTTATTTGTTACAAGAAAAGCTTCATTATAAATTTTTAAGACGAATAATAAAATAATTGTACGCAGCAGCAGGATCTGTTAACTAATGAAATGCAGACCATGCAATTTTCCTAACTGACCTTTCAAAAGCAGCATCACTGGTTTTGCTAATACTTCTAAATTTGAAAGTTTGATAGGCATGCGTTCGATGTGTTTTTGAAAGTAGGCTGAAGACAACAAAAATGGGTATGTGATCACTTATATCAGATATCAAAACACCAGCTTCTATGACATTCGCTTAAGTGATAAAGCATCAGTCAATGAGAGTTTCGGAGCCATCTGTTAATCTTGTCGGTACATTAACTACATTTCCTTGGCTGTAAGAGAAAAACACATCAAAAAGAACTTGTTTGTTGCATTCTAGTGACAGCATAATAATGTTGAGGTCCCCCGTAGTAACAATAGGCAGACCGAATATGGTACAAAAATCCAGCATATAGGTTGTAAAAAGTTTATTTGGGTGCACGTTAAAGAACCCCAGGTGGTCGAAATTTCCGGAGCCCTCCACTACGGCGTCTCTCATAATCATATGGTGGTTTTGGGACGTTAAACCCAACATATCAATCAATCAGGTTGTAAAAAGTTAAAGAAACATCTATGGCTCCAGAAGGCGGCCTGTAAATTACCGCAATTACAGTGTCGTGGCTCTTCAACATGAAGGATTCGTAGTGTGCGTTAACGACTGAAAACTCTGAAAATATTTCAAAATGCAAATCACTTTTGACGTAAAAAGCTA